GTGTGTGTGTGTGTGTGTGTGTGTGTGTGTGTGTGTGTGTGTGTGTGATGACAGGGAAATGAACCAGAGGAGATGAGTAGTCTGAGGGAAGAAGCGAGTAGCTGGTTTCTAATCTTGGAAACACTTAAAGAGTCAGACCATTTGGCCGAGGTCCAGATCGCTGCTTCATCGGCCCGCTCTCTTCCTCTCTCTCCGTTTGCTTTCTTTGAATTTGTGAAAGAGTGCTTCATAACTTCCCTTGTAACATCTTCATCACACTAAGTGTCATCAGTTTATCTTTCAGAGCAACCACCACCCATACCAAAAGGAAATAATCGACTTTTTCTTAAATTGTCAATACTGTGTGGTCGTTTTTGTGACCGTTATTATTTGTGCTGTATCGGACAGCATTACATTAACATTCATTTCATCGGATATGTTAATGAGGTGGATCAAATATTAGTCACTACTTTTTAATATAATTCAATACTCAATAATGAAATAAAGAATGGCCCAACTTTGCCCCACAAATGATTATGGAACAAAACAAAAAGACATTTTAAGATAAACCTTGATCATTAAAACTTACACATTTACTGTGCATGTCCTCACAAGCCATGGAAAGATGGCATGTTGTTAGCAGTATTGAAGAGTAAGGCCCACAGACCCAAGAGTGTTTTCACAGGTACGTTTACTTGCTGCAAGTAAGTAAAATGACCACAACCTCCATTTTGTTGGATGGAACCTGAGTTTAACAGTAGTAGGGGCACCATGGAAATAATGCCATATCTAAATTGCCCGTAGGTGTGAATGTGAGCGTGAATGGTTGGCTGTCTGGGATCGGCTCCAGCCCCCCAGCGACCCTGAACAGTATAAGCGGTGACGGAGGGTGGATTGATGGATGTCGCAACATGATCTCACAGAAATGCATTCAGGACCACGACCAACATTCTAGGTTAGGCAACAAAACTACTTCAGAAATGACATGAACATCCGAATATACCATAAAATAGTAGATAGTGTCTAATGTGGCCAAAAATGTTTCTAACATATGGTTAGTTAAATGGAAACAATTCTTTTTGGTAATAATGAGCAAATGGCCTAAAAAACAATAGATAACGCCAAGAAATTATCAAAATACACATACACATAAAAACACGTAAAAGTTATTTTCAATTTTGACCTTGGAGAGTCAAAAAATCTTAACACAAGGTCCAATCTCTAGATTTCTCCCCGAGCTTTAAGCAGCATCTCCTGAACTTCATCGACATATGTATGAGTGAATTTCTTATATGTATTCAATTCATAGTAAATAACTATATTTCCCATGTTTTTATGTCTCAGTGACTAATGAGGACAACAATTTATGAAATTGGTCCAGTGTTAAAGGAAAACGCTGCAGTGAGCCTCTGAATGGGTCGCAATGTCATCACTTGGATCAACTCAATGTACGTCCACTAAAAGTGCTTGCTTTTGCCATTGACAGGCTCAACCTGCCAAAGACAATGATGGTGCACTTCTACACAGCCATCATTGAGTCCATCCTCTCAGCTTCTGGTACTCTGCAGCCATCGCCGAGGACAAGGGCAGACTGCAGAGCATCATTCACTCTGCTGAAAGAGTGATTGGCTGCAATCTGCCGTCCCTCCAAGACTTGTTCGCTTCCAGGACCCTGAGGCGAGCAAGAAAGATTGTAGCCAACCCCTCTCACCCTGGACATAAACTGTTCGAGGCCCTTCCCTCTGGCAGGAGGCTGCGGTCCATCAGGACCAAGACCTCACGCCACAGGAACAGTTTCTTCCCTTCTGCAGTTGGGTTCATCAACTAAGCTCAGGACCCCCACTGACCCTGTCATCCCCAGGACAATTTCCTACTGTTACACTCCCTTGTACAACTCTACAAATCTACTCGACACTTTAATAACATACTTGTTTTAAACTTGCTCTTAATTTGTTTGTTTGTTTGTTTGTTTATCATAGTTGATTGTACATTTTCATATTTTCTATTTTTAAATTATGTCTTTTACTAATGCACTATTTTAACTTTTACACAAGAATCACCAAGCCAAATTCCTTGTATATGTATTGTACTTGTAACTAATACCTTTTCTGATTCTGACATTGTGAGCTGACATTGTTATGGAAAGAACCCTACAGATACATTTTGTTCTTGACCATTGGCTTGATCCTGTCTGGTCCCCAAAACCGGAGAAATAGGGTCCAGGTTATACCGAAGTAACTATTTAATAATTCATTATTATGTTTACATTAATGCTGAGGAAGAGTTATAGTTGTTAAAAATACATGAATCAACTCTGGCAGATGTCCTTATATTGTTTTATAACTACATTATTGAGTGTTATAAACCACTTATCAAGTGTTTATATACTGCTTGTAAATGAGAAACAGAATTAAAATAAAATGTTAAATCTTAGGGTTATTTTCTTATTCAGCACACACTGACTGCTATTATGCACATCAGCAGCAGCACACGTGCATATGCAGAAAAACACACACACACACATGCAGGGGTATACAAGATGATGGGAATCACGGCGCAGGTAGTTTAAATCTGACACCGGTGTAAATGAATATGACGGGATGAAATAGGATTAGCCTCTTTGCTATTGATTAGCTGGCCGTGTAATAATTAAAGCGGGTCGAGCCGCGGGGCTACTGCAGTGTATATGTGTGCGAGTGTGTGATGAATGCCAAGGTCCCCAACTCAAGATCGTTCCACTCAGCACAATCACAACCAGCTCTCCTCCTGCCAGCACAGGCACAGCAAGACCGCTGCATGGTCACGCAACACAGGGTTTTACGAAGGTGGGGGGGGGATAGAGAGGGGGAGGCAGTGAGAGACAGTGTGACCAAGTGAGCTTAGTGTGAATGTCTTTGTCATTTTATTTTCCACTTTTTTTATTCTGGTACATTTTTTTCAATACATATGTGTAATTTGAATAGCAAAACGTTTATTTCACTTTCTTTATATACTGGCAATGAAAGCAGCTTTCTTTTGGCACAAGACGGCAAGCTTTATTAATCCTTTCTACCTTAACAAAGTCAAGGTGAAGACCGCATCGTCTGCTTGCGTCCATCTATTGGAACCTTTTATCAGAAAGGTGCTGCAACTGTCGCAAATTTGCATCACTGCTGGTATGAATAGTTTTGGTGCAAAATATTTGCATGTCAGTATGTCGCATTTTTGTGATGTTTATTCACCACATCCTCAGTGTGTAAGGTCTGCACACACACACACACACACACACACACGCACGCACACACACACACACAAACCCACACACGTGTAGGCCTACATTAAAGGGACTGTGTGTGTATTGAATGTACACCACTGAGCAGATAGTCCTCTATCTCCCCGCAGTGTAATCTCTTGATTTGTGGGATTGACCCCTCTTAATTCAATGGTAGAGAATCGCTGTGACAGCAACACTGAATGGATTTTCAATGCACTGCACCTGCTCTAATAATTTTAGGGATAACCTCCGCCTTCCTGCTACATACACACACACACACACACTCACACTCACACTCACACACACAGAACTAGACTGAGGGGCGGAGTGGGGGGGGGCAGATCACACGCGTAGATATTGTGCAAACTGAATGAAGCCATCGGCCTTAATCAAGGGATTGAATTCCTCCATTCTATCCTCTTCCCCAGTCCCTGTAATGTGTCTCCTCCGTCTGGTGGCTCTGATCAATGTCCCCTCTATGGGCTCCGTCTCTGTGGACTCATCCCAGGACGTCTTCATTAGGAGTCTCTTGCCAGATCTCACGGTCCCTGACAATAAAGCCTGTTAAACCTCTGATCCATCAGTCTGATACCTGGCTGTCAAATAGCTTTTACATTTTACATTTCAGGAAAGCTTTCTCGCTCTCTTTATCCATGCCTGTAATGAGTGTCTCGTTCAGGGAGGACGCTTCAGTAGGAAGAACCAACTGCAACGTGATCCTCTTTGTGGCCTTTTTTTTGTGGGATGCAGCCGAGGTCCACCCCCCGTGCAGCATGTGTTGTGTCACCGACCGTCTGGCCCGCGAGCGTCTGCCGAGGCTGGGGTGGGTCAGGGAGAGTCCCACCTCTAAGCTGGACCAAACACAAATGGGGAAAGGTGAGAGGAGGTGAAGGAGGGATGAAGGAGACTAGAGAGAAGCAGGGTTAATGAGAGAGCTAGGGTGGATGATAGAAGAAGATTTGTAGCTTTTTGAAAAGACTATGCAGTATTTGACTTTAGTCAGCGATGGAAAGTAACACATTTACTCATGTAGCCTTCCTTTCAAAATGTTCAAGATGTCAAATCCAGTGCCACGCTGTCCGATGGCCACGCAAGTGCTCAGTAGCGCCGACCGCCACTAGTACAACCGATGTGCACAAAGTTGTGTATGCCTGATTGTCACTGTTTGCAATTTATCTTATTTTATATGTATCTTTCAAAAACATTCATGGGTAACGCTTTATAATAACTACACGCTATGAAGCATTAGTTAAGTAAACACTTCATTCATCATTAAGCCATCATTAATGACTAATGCTTCATAGTGTGTAGTTATTATAAAGTGTTACCCATTCATGTTTATTTGATATAGAATGTTTTTTTGTCAGGTTGTCGGGAAATTTATGTTAGAAATTTCACTCAAATGGAGACAAATGTATAAAAAGTAAAAAGAAATCTGTAATTGGCATCTCAACAATTCCGTTAAATAAAACTTTTTTATGTTGATGTTGCCCAAAGGAAGTAAGAAATGCAATAGGTTGGTATATCACATATCACTTACTGAATTTGAAATGACAAAGAGTTTGCAACAAAGGATCCTAATTGACTTTCCTGTGACATTGTTTCCCTACTAATGTGTTGACACCACGTGCCATCCAACAAAATGCGCTGTTAGGAGGTTGTGGTCATGTTACGTATTTACAGCATGTAAGCGTACCTGTGAAGGCCTCTGTGGTCTTTGGTCCTCACTCTTCAATACTGCTCCAACACTTTACTTACTCGCTTGCTTACTTAGTTTCTGGGTAAGACTCCTCCAAGATGTCTCCAAGAACCACAAATAAGAGAGTAATCTTATCCCTCAGTACTTTATTATGGCAACATCTGGGGAGCTCAATTTTTTTATCTTTGGTCATTTATCATATTTTACTTACAATAAACTGGAAAACTCCTGATCTCTAAAAAATAAGAACTTTTTTTTTTACATTACAATTATCTTTGGTCCTAAATTAATATCAGTATAGTAGTGTTTCAGTACGCATCACCTGCTGGTAACTGTAGAGCAGATATATATCAATCAGAAGCAGACAAAGAAGTTTCTACTTCAAGGCCTGTTTATGTACGTCAAGCTCTATGTTTCCTGAAGCCACAACAAGCTCAGCTTATTGTCTCCAGTTCCCTCCTCCATTTGCAATTCTATTGTGGAATAGCGGTTATCTGTCACCGAGATCAATGTAAAAGTAATAATACTTACCCCCAGTCAGAAGTGTCTCCAGCAGTGCTACAAACAACCTGCACCAATACACGCGGCATCCTGCCGTCTCCTCAGAGTAATAGCCATTTAATTACGAAGAACAGGAAGAAATCATTGGCAATTTTCAGGGAGACAACTAATATCTCACACTGGGGCTGCCGGACTGAAGAGGAGGCAGTGGAGAGAGCAGGGTGGGCCCTCTAGTGCTCAACATGGAGAAGGACCCGAAACCTTTGCGAGCGGATGTCACAGTGAAAGGGTGCTGAGACATCAAATGCAGTCAGCATCAAGAGAAGTCATCCAGTAAAGAGGACCTTTTCTTCCTCTACATTGCCTCTGAAACATATTGCTCCTCACGTTTAATACTGTAAATATGATAACGCTGCTCAATGCTCAATAAAGCAGACAGATATTCACTGCGCCTACACGGGATTATTTGTGGAGCATTATATCACTCAACTGTAATCAATCCTTCTTTCTTTACACGGCACATCATCCACACCGTGTAATGTGCATGAGTGCATGCTTCTCATAAAGAAATAGTGTAAAGTTTCCCCCCTTGCCTCCTCATCTCCTCTGTATTCAGATGGAGCAATAACCTAAGTGAGCTTACGACTGTTACAATGTGTAGCAGTAAAGAGAGCTGTGTTTGAAGGAGCACCGTGATGACTGATTACTAGAAAGTGTGTGTGTGAAGTATTCAGATCCTTTAATAAATAAATATATCAAGTCCTGCATTCAAAATGTTTCTTTGTGAAAAAAATGGCAGCATTATCAAAAAAATATCCTTAAAGTCAAATGAAATGATCATTTGTTGTATCACTGGATTGGTATTTATGATAAACCGGCAATAACTGATTTTTTTGGCCACTTGGAAGCCGCAGAAATGACATAAAACATCAACATTTGAGCTGATATATTGAATTGAAGCACTTGCCCTTTTACACATCCAGCAGTGACAGAGAGACATTAGCATTCATTTTTAAAGTGTGATACTGATGAAGCTTATTCCAATATCCATTCTCTTTTTAGCTTTGTTTTTGGTCTCCACTAACCCCTGAGGGAATTATCCTTAAATGTCTTTAGCTGTTAAATGCTCCGCTATGTTCACCAGCTCTGCGCTCACTGTGGCCGTCTGCTGCTTGGTGCTTGGCCGACACATTCTCACTCACAATGTGTCAAATAATGCAACCTGGTCACTGCTCCTCGGCATCTTGACACCAACACTTTACCGGCATTATGGGCAGATCGATCTCAGAAACCCATCAGCTGTGGGTTTGTTAAGTTACACCTCTCATATTACACATAACCATTTCACCCAAAACATTTATTAGAGAAGCTTTCATGTTGAGTCTGGTCATGTTACATTTTTCTGGATTTCCTCAGATACAGATTTTTATTGACTTGATCCAATACATGGTGTTTAGTACAAACAACATTTACAATACAATAATGATAAAACAATGATGCCCGGCAACACTAAAGGTACCCTGTGGAGTTTTTGACCACTAAAGCAGAGGTAGAACACTCTTCAAACCAGGCACCTAATTTACTTGTAACACAGATAAATGGCTTATGTACCTCGGCAACTACTTTTCCTTGCAGTACTTTCCCCAGCTTTGCCTTGATATCCTTCATTTTGCTTGTGGAGCCTCTGAATGCTATCCACACCTTTATATCTCACAGTGACCTTGGGGATTCTGGTGGGGTACTGAATATACAGTTTAATACATAACAGTGCATCATATCATATAAACTCATGTTATGTATGATGTGAAACCCAAGTGGCAACCAAACTGCAGTCCCTCAAACAGCCACTTGAGGTCGGCTCCAAAAGTGAGTCGATCCCCAAAGACCACCATGTTAAAATGCCCAGCTCTACAGCAAGAATTATGCACATGTTTTCAGCCTGGTACAACAACAACATGTCTCTACATCTAATTCCCCAGTTCATGACAACTATACGGGGAGTGAATTTTATACAACTGAACCGCTTAAAACTATGCATATGCAAGGGGAAGGGCCTTTTTGAGAGACAGGTATAGTTTCGTCCCCGGTGAATAGCCGCTAGGTGGCTGGCCAGAAAGAGCACCCAAATTAATGTGACAGTTATTGGGAATCCACTTTGATAACCAAGCTAGCTAGCTATTGAGGGCAAACGAGAAAGTGTTAGCTGGTAACTTAGCATTTCTTATGCTAACTGTACATGGGCCTCGCGCTTCCCCAGCTCCACCCTCTTGTCCAAATATGGACAATTCTGGCTCCGAAAACATCAAGATGACGACGGCCAACATGTCAAACTCAAGGCTTCAAAATGGTAGTCATGACCAATGGGTGATGCCACGGTGACTACATCCAATTCTTATACATTGTCGTGTTTTTTTTACCATATCTATCAAATGAATGTAGCAGGGTAAAAAGGTACAATATCTACCTTCAAAATGAAAGACGTTTAAAGTAGCAGAACATGCAATACTCAAGTTAAGAACAGCATTGTACATAAGTAGAGTACTTGAGTAAATATACTGATTGACATTCATCACAGCTTACCTGTGTATGTCGATGAGCATTTGGGTCCAATTCGCTCTCCCATCTTTTCCGTGAGTGTGTGTGTGTGTGTGTGTGTGTGTACACTAGCTGTGTAATGGACCACAGTCGATCCGTGATCCGTACGGATCCCCCTCACGGTTCGGCAAGCATGTGAACCGTGGATTAATGACACAGTTTAACATTAACCACGGTATGAAATAAAAGTTTTACTTGCAATCGTTATCCGCCAATATTCAGTAAAATACGTGATCAGGACATAATTTATGCTTTTCTAGTCGCTGATCTCTGATAATGTGACATTGTTAACAATCGATCCGTGTTTAATTTGACAGGAGAGCTGCTAACGTGAGCAGCACGGCTAACGTTACTAACGGCTAACGTTTGGTTACATTATGATGCGTTCAGGCTCTGTTCAGTGAAGTATTGTGAGTATTGAACGAAGGTAAATTATAACGTTATCATGATGTGTTCAATGTGATCTCATAAAATGTAGTGTTGGTGAGAAACTTGAATAAATCCAGTAGTTTGAAGGAGTTGTTTTCACAACATAAATAGATATTAGAGATGAATTATGAGCTGTTTACACTAGCTCTAATAATACATCATTAAAACTACTAATGACTAGATTTATTGTAATCCATTAAAATACAATCTTTTATTTCCTTATCATTTGAGTTGTGTGTTTTCATGAAGAAAAAAAACACAATCTATGACTATAACAAAGTAAAAGGAGAACATTTATAATGTTTGATGGTTCACTGACTTCAGAGCGGTGGAAATGATTTTTGGGACAGATGGATCCTTGTGGACCAGCTGCTATAACCAAACAACAAAGAGATCTGTGTCTGTTAATATGGATCATCAATGATCGGCAATTAGTATCGACAGCAAAACAGCGGGATCAGGGATCTCTAAAAGTTATATTTGCTCCTTTTTTTCTATTGTGCAGATCCGATCTGTGACTCTGATCAGTGATACGATCCGGACCTTGAGTTGTATGATCCGTCGCACCACTGGTGTACACGTGTGTATTTGTCGATAAGCTAGGCCACAACCCCTCGCTCCTCTGCAGTCTTTGTCCCCGGCCCCTGCATCA